GGGGGGGGTGTACTGGACACGTTGAAGGGTAGGGCTAGGATGCAGAGTGACCTATTGGAGGACTGGGCTAAAAGAAATCTCATGAGGTTCAACAAGGACAAGTGTAAAGTCCTGCACTTAGGACAGAACAGTCCTATGTACCAGTACAGGCTGAGGGCTGGCTGGCTAGGCAACAGCTCTGCAGAAAAGGGCCTGAGGGTTACTGTGGACAATAAGCTGAATATGAGCCAGCAGTGTGCCCTTGCTGCTAAGAAGGCTAACAACATACTGGGCTGCACTGGTAAGTGTTTTACCAGTAGGTCAAGGGAAGTGATTATTTTCCTCTATTCAGCATGGGTGAGGCCACATCTGGAGTTCTGTGTTCAGTTTTAGTCCCCTCACTACAGAAAGGATGTGGAAAAATTGGAGAGAGTCCAGTGGAGAGCAAGAAAAATGGTGAGGGGGCTGGGGGACATGACTTGTGAGGAAAGACTAAGGGAACTGGGCTTATTTGGGCTAGAGAAGAGAAAGCGTCTGCGGAGTGTGTGTGTGCGTGTGGGTTAATAGCAGCCTTCAACTACCGGAAGGAGGGTTCGAAAGAGGATGGAACTAGGCTGCTCTCAGTGGTGGCAAATGACACAACAAGGAGCAATAGTTTCAAGTTGCAGCAAGGGAAGTTTAGGTTAGATATTAGGAAGAATTTCCTCACTAGGAGGGTAGTAAAGCACTGGAACAGGTAAACCAGAGAGGTGGTAGAAGCTCCATCTTTGGATGTTTTCAAAATCCAGCTAGACAAAGCCTTGGCTGGGATGATCTAGGTGGGGATGGTCATGCTTTGAGCAGGGGGGTGGACTAGATGACCTCCTGAGGTCCCTTCCAACCTTAACTTTCTATGAAATCCTTCAATTCATCCTCATGCACAATAATTTCACTTTCTACAACTACAACTTTCTACCCATAGGTGTCCCCATGGAGGAGGAAGACAGCTCCTCAATATACTAACTTCTTCATAAGCCATCTGAAGGAAAAAACTTCTGGAAAATTGATCAAACTTGCACTGTCTCTGTATTACACAGATGATATTTGGATGCTTATCTTGCTGGGATCCTTTGACCGTAGCTGACTTCCTGCCCCTTGGGCAGGGGGCTGGACCCGATGCTCTTATGACATCCCTTTCAGCCATAATGCCTATGAAATCTATGATATTTTAATCATTCTGAACACCTGGACTTGCTTACGGACTTCTACCACAGGTATAAAAACCCCTTGATCAAACCTTATCTGCAATACTCCTACACCAACATAAACTTCCTAGATATCACAACCGACATCCAGGGTGACATCCCACAAACCACCACATGCAAAAAACCCATAGACCTCCATATTTATGTCCAAAAAAAACAGCAGTCACCTCAAGCATGCCAAAAAGCTGTCTACAGCCAGGCCCTGAGATACTACGGCATCTGCTCTGAGGATATGATGCCCACATTGCCAGGCTAAAATCTGCCTTTATACAACAAAGACACTCCAGTAGAGGAATAGACCATATATTTGAAAGAGCCACCCAAATACCTGTAGTAACCTTTTTCAATACAAAAAGAAACCCTCCACAACCACACACTCCTGGTTGTCACCTGCCATCACACACTAGAACTAAGAAGAATCAAACAGCCACGGCCTATGCCCAGTAAAGATCAGACCTTGAGAAAAATATTCCCAGCCCCTCTACTCCTGGCTTTCAAAGAACCCACATCTTTGCCCATCTCTTTATCAAAAGCAATGTTCCCACTGTCCAAAAGATGAAGGACACAGCCTTGCTTAGCAAGAAATGTTTAACCTGTCAACACTTCTCCACTGCTACTACAATCAACACCCCCACAACAAACCCATCAGAATGCATGATTCCCACACGTGTCTGTCTCCAAATGCGACATATGTTTCAATGCACCAAATGCCCTTATGGCAACTATGTGGATCAAAATAAACAGCAATTACACACTAGAATAAACTTTAACAGAAAAAAATAAAGGCACACACCCCCACACTGCCCCTTAGGAGCATATTTGTTACGGAACAACACTCCCTTGTTGGTCGCACTATCTTCATGCTCAAGGGAAATCTATCTAACACCTTTAGAAGGTGAAATTAGAAACAAAAATTCATAAGCTGGCTGGACACCAAGAACCAAAGGCTTAACACTGATATTGGTTTTATGGTGCCTTACAACCTATCGGATTCCTGCATTCTTTCCACCCATGAAAGGTGAGAATGAGCCTCCTTTTTGACAGGCCTTGATTTCCCAGCAATAAGTTTCTTTTCTTCTGCTAGCTATTTATCTGTACACCCATGGGAAATTCTCTCCCTTACCTTTTCCAACTATTTTTTATTCTGCTGTGCTGGCTTTTACTGTTCAGACCTGATAAAGAATATTCTGTATTCAAAAGCTTGTCTAACCCTAGCCCAACTATACAGTTGGTCCAATAACAGATGTCACCCTAAGAAATTATTGCCTCTCAAGAAAAAGAGATCTTTTTAGTGATCAGAGAAAATTCTCTTGAATCCAATAAAAAAACAACATGTAGCTGACTGGAGCATATATATGTAAGTATGCATTTGAAAAAAAACATAAAAAAGCTAAGATATTAGAATGAGAAGTGAAGATGAAGGATTAATTAAGAGGAGGGGAGAAACATTAATATGACAGGTAGCTGGAGTGAAGTTGTAGTTATAACGGCTCAAGAAATATGCAACTTTTTGTGAATTCATTTTTCCTCAGATTGCCACAGACCTCTGACCAGATAATAGCTACAGAATAACACCTGCTGCACATACCAAAGCAGCAGCTTCCCTGCCTGTTTACAAGCTGTGCAAACGTATGTCCATACACTGCGAGCTCCCAGCCTCAGGGGATGGATATGGCTCTCCCTCAGCTAGGAGATCCAATCAGTTGACAGGGCTCCCAGCCACAGGAGTCCCTGGCCATGTGTTCAATTAGTGGCATGATAGAAAGCTGCAACAAAAGTTGTATTTTGTGAAATAACTTTGTAGTTTATTTGCCTTTTTATCACTATTAATTGATTGTCTGGGTGACTGTTCCTAGATTCATAGATACTAGGGTCAGATCTATAAATCTATAGGAAAAAAATAGCAACTATATATGAAAAAGTAAGATATGTACCTTCACAACTTCCTCTCCATCCACAATCTTCAGTTTTTCTAAGTTGTCCTCTAAGTGCTCTGGTTTCATGCGCCACTTCAAAAGACCCAGTAAACCCACTGAAATAAAAGAAAAGGTCCACTCTTGTTAAAAAAAATGATATTTTTCAATAATGTAATAATCCTTTTCGAAAGCTTCAGTGTAATTTAGAAATACATACCATTTTGAGTTACTTTTGTTGAACAAACAAGTGTTGAAATCAAAAAGGTATCTCGTGTGTTTACCGAGAGCCCTCCTACAATGCTAGAACTCCGGCTTAAGGTAGTTCCTTTATTCTCGATTTGTTGACGAGTTGAAGGTAAACTCAAATAAGTACTGGCATCTTCCATTTTCTTACTATCACCCTGAAAGTAATATATTAGTTATTATGTGTTCTTTGTTTTGAAGTACTCCATATACTTTACAATATGTGGAAAACAGATGAAGAATATTCTTCTAGACTATAAAGCTTACGATTTCAGGATAAGGTAGGAGAAAAATGGGTAAAAAGTAAGACAATGCTGTTCAGCTTGATTTACTGTGGCCTCTGCACACCAAAAGCAAAACTGTTTAGTTGTACTGTTATTGTATGTTTGTGTGCATGCACTTGTGTGTGTGCATACTCAACAGCACAGGAGAGTTAAATGAGAGTTGGGAAAATGAGGAGGAGATGTTGAAGAAATGTGGAAGTTGGCAAAAATATCTGAAAATGTGGAAGTGGGCAATAATGGCTGGTACTATTCGAGTGGAATAAAGAGATGATGTAAGGATATAAAGAAAAAAGGACAATTTGAGAATGACACCCAAGTTATAGAAGACATGGTGTTGCTGACCTGGTTACACCAAGTTTAACTCGATAGCTCTGTGACACATCCAAACACACTTCCAGAATGCTCTCACACTTCCAGGGGTACTTTTTAGTTCCAAACCCTTCTCTGCCATCTGCTGCTTGACCACTGAGAAGAGGATGAGATGCCCCAACGGTTACTTCCCTGACCTGTGGCACCTCAGCTATGCCTGTTTACCAGTGCCTTGCCAGCTTTTAGGATAAAAAATTCTGCCAGCTACAAGAAACATACCCTTGTCAGGTCATGTGCTCATAAAAAGACATACCCTTCCTTCCTTGGCCTGTGTGGTCAAATGCTCTGAGATCACAGTTATCACTGACGATAATAAGCGAGTTAAAAAGGTAATAAAAGCTTTATTATAAAAACAAGAATCAGCATAAGAAATCAGTAACCACAGGTTGAGATACAAAGATTATGAATAAACAAGTAAATGAAAAGATCAGAGCAATAACATGGTCTTACTCTGCATCTTCAATCTGAGAAGGCAGCTTCTATTCAGCTCAGCAGATTAGAAAGAAATCCCTACCTCTGACCTTACATCAGGGTCTACTGCAATTTCTTCTGCCAGCTTGCTTTACTCAGGCTGCTGACTGAGGAACTTCAGGGTTTCCCTAAACCCAGGAAAGCCAAAAACCAAACCCTGCACACAGGGCAGGGCTTAAGGCTAAGTACAGACAGGCAAAAAGCTGGAGGCTTTAGTAGACTTAGAAACTGTGTAGATTGAACCAATATGCAAGTGAACAGATGCATTCACTTTTGATTCCAGAAATGCAGCCATGGGCCTGCAGTGGCCCAGACCAGAAGCCAGGGGGCACAAGAACAGTCCTCCCTGCTTATCTGGAGCAGACAGCATCATGGGCCAAGGCTAGCCTACTCCTTTTGGGAGGTGGGGGTTGCCATCTTAGAACCAGAAAAAAAACAAATCATACATTAAAAGTCAAACACCTATTATAATATATTTTAATTTTATTTCAAAAATATTTTGTTATGATTTGTGCTTGTGTAGTGTATATGGAGGGTATTGTATAATAACTCAAAAATAAATTCCTAATCTTGTTTATTGTGGGGAAAGGGTGTGTGTGTGTGTGTGTGTGTGTGTGGCTGGGGGAGCACAGGGTATATTAGGGGGTTGTGCACATGTGGGGAGTTGCGGGGGCAGATGAGGGAAGGTCGGGGTATGGGAACCACCCACACTCCCCCCTGCCCCAATGGCACAGCAGCAGCAAGCAGGGTTGCTCAAGGTGCTCGTGTCTAGCAGGGTGCAACTCTGGCCAATGCTGCACCTCACAGCAAGGGGTGCAGCCTCTGCCAGGCAATCTCTATCACCAGCTCCCTGCACTCGTCAGGCACAAGAGGGAAGCCCCAGGTGCTGAAGCCAGCTGCTTTCCCCCCAGGAAGTTGCCTGGTGCTTCCCTCCCATGCTGCGCAGCCCCAGCAGGGAAGGTAGCCAGCTTCAGAGTGTGGGGCTTCCCTTTCATGCCGCATAAGTACAGGGGTTGTGCATGTGCAGCAGGGAGTGCTGGCGATACAGAAGGGCTGGTGGAGGCTGTGCCCCTTGCTGCAATGTGCAGTACTGGCTGGAACCATGCCCTGCCAGGCACCTGCATCAGGCCCAAGTGCCCCCGCCTGCTGCTACTGCCACTGCCTGCTGGGACTGTGCAGCAGAGGAGGGGAGTGTGGGGGGTCCCACACCCCCACCCTCCCTCACACCTACATGCTTCCCACCTGAGCTCCACACTACTGCCACCCCCCTGGGAATGGGCTCTGCACTGCAGCTAGCCCCCTCCATGCTCCCACCTAGCTGAAACTCCACTGCTGCCACTTCCTTACCTGTTGCCCAGAATGATCTGGAGGCAGGAGAGCGGATCAGGTCCCTGGAGGCTGCAGCAGCCCTGCCCAGAAGCTGTGTGATGGCGAGGCCGGGCCCTTCTGCCCATGAGGATGGAAGCAAAGTGCAATAGGGTATATTTGGGGGGCTGTGTACACATGGGCAACTCACTCCCACCGTCATGGGCAGAATGGCTGGATAGGGCACAATCTGTTGGTGGGCACCATGGGCCAAATGAAAGTGCATGGCAGGCCATATTTTGTCCAGCCCTAGTCTGAATAGATAGGTGTTATTCTTACAGCCCCTTCTTTTAAAAATATAAAACCACCATTATCTGGTAGGACCAAGGTCACATGCATCAGAACACATCCACAAGGAAGATGAGTAAACAAACTCCTGTCAAATGCTAATTTTTAGCAATTAACTATTCTTCAGCCATTTAGGCTTTGAGCCTCTTCTAGGTGCCAAAGAAGCTCACTGGAAAATAAATATGGTATTGCACAATCCTGGCCCTATTATAGCATATAAGAAATACATTTTATATTACAGTTCATGCAGACATAATAACAATAAAGCTAAATACAGCTTGGTGCTTCATAGAGATAGTACATGTCATACCAATAAAACAAACTCAAGAAAACATGTCTGACACCCCATGAATCTCCCCTTCTCCTCACCCCAGGACTACAGTGGAGTTTGGGATAAGCTGTACAACCTAAAAAATATAATCAGAAAGAGACTGAGACTTTTCATTGGAAGAATAGACAGGGTTAGAATAGACAAGTTAGTCACCAACAAAGGAATAGTTTGATTTTTGACTGTGGATGCAATTGACTATAGGTATGTGGTAAGGGAAAAGAGTGGGAAGGTTATTCCTTTCATTTTGAAGATATTCCAGAACGTTATTTTTAAGGTGCTGACAGAGGTGTAGTTCCCCACTGTAACTCACGTCACTTCACAGAAAGCACCATGAGTTACAGCGACCCCCTTTCCCCAAGTCGTTCCCTCTTCCTCTGCTCCAACAGACCTTTGCTGTTGGCTCAGGGGAGTGAGAGATTGAGCTCCACTTTGAAGCTGATCCAGAAGGAACTGTGTGTTTGCAGCCTCTCTCCCTAGCCCACTCCACCCATCTCCCCTCCCAGCTCCAGTGCGGTCTGCATGGTGGGATAAGGAGAAGGGAGAGGATGGAGCTCTGGGCTGGGGTTTGCCCGGTCTGTGCTAGAGGAAGAGCAGGTGGACCAGAGCCTTGATCAGACAAAAGTTAACGAAAGTGCTCTGCTTTAGAGCACCTTCATCTCAACCTTCACAAGGCCTAATTTGTTGCGTGATCAGGCACTTTTAAAGAGCTCTACATCCATACATTTCTGTCAGGGCATAGCTGTAACCAGCTTTTAACAGTCGAATCATGAGACAAATGTCACTTGTCAGTGTCCTCAGAATACAGCAATTGCATGTTTGAGCTTTTGCCAGAGTCTGTCAATAGAAAAATAAAATTACATTGCAATTTGCCTTTAGATAAAGTAAATCTAAAATATTCTATAAAATCATATTAGGAAGTTTCTTCACTAAATTTGTGTACTGTAGCATTAGCTAGCAAGGTAAGATGTTGTAAGAGATCATTTGTAATAAAACCCCACTTAAATTAGGACAAGTCAGAGATGGGGAATTATGGAAAACTATCATAAATTGACAATTAATTCTGGATCTTAATACATGTACCAACATAGCCAAAGACCTCTAGTGAAAGAAGACTACTGCAATAAATCATTTAAGCCTGACCAAGCTGTGGGGTCAAACAATTCAAGACTTCTTACATAGTTCAAGATGGTGGGGGAAGAAAAGATTTTTTAAAAATCCTATATTACAGGTCTTGGCAGGACAAATTTTTATTGCAAAATTAGTACAATGTTCATTTTCCTTGGAAAGAGTGAGGAGGGGGAACAGCAACAACTTCAGTTACAACATGTACCAATATTTTCATAGATTCATAAACTGTAAGGGGCTGGAAGGGACCTCTCAAGATCATTGGGTCCAGCCCCCCTGCACTAGGTAGGAAAGACAACTGGGGTCAGGTGACCCCAGCAAAGTGACCATCCACTTTCCTCTTGAAGATTTTCAGGGTAGGTGATTGCACCATCTCTGGAAGGAATTTATTCCACAGTCTAGACATCCTAATTGTGAAGAAGTTTTTCCATTTTTTGCACCTAAATTGCATGCCATTTAAGGGATTCAGATTCATGCCTGACCACAGGGACAGAGTAAAAAGAGCAATCAGGATATACTAATAAATGTAGATAGTTCAAGATTTCTGAAGATCGGAGACTTTAGGCTTTGAGCATTCATTGTACCTTCAAAAAAATGTTGGCCTATGAAAATCAAGCCAAGTCCAACCCTTAGACACTAGCAAGGATATAATGCAGGCCCATGAAATTTCATCGAATCTGATTTTCTAGTGAACTTGGTTTCAAGAGACTTTCTATTATTTCATGAAGTTCTCAGATTCTCACATCCCATGAAGAGGGATCCTTTTACTAGTGTCAAGTTCTAGAAAGCAGCTTGTATTTAAATTTAGTTGAAATTCTCATTCAAAAGCATTGAGCCATCCTATACTGCAATTGCAGAACATAAGCTGCACCAAAGCAAACAAGGGGAAAAACCACAAGAAAAAGTATCATAGAGAGATGCCAATGGACAAAAAGTGACAGATTTTGAAGCTACAACCTAGACACTGGCTAGAAAATGATATTTAGAGGTTTGCTTTTGGGAACTGGCTTGTAGGTAAAGCAGATGTGTTAGAGCAATGGTCCAAGGGAATGGCAAGGGTAAACTGGTATCAAAAAGCCTATTTGTGACAAAAAGTTTCATTCAAAGCCCACTGTGTCTGAAGCCAACAGACATACAGGCTGGGAAATTGAAGACATGTACCACACTGTTCCATAACATGCACAGTGTACCCCAACAAAGATAAGGGACTCTGCAACATTGGTGCCAGGTCACAGTTCCAAACTACAAAGCCTTTTCTGGCTTTGGTGAACAGACCAAATTAGGAGGACTGTTAAATAACCAAATTAAGATATGTGTGCATGTGATGGGTTTGTGAAACAAAGGAATATGCTGACAGGACAGAACTTGGATAGTATGATGACCACAGGGAGATCAATCAATGATGCCAAGGAATGAAGAGTCATCAGACGGGAGAAAGAATACAAAAACGAGGGATTTCAGAGTAGCAAAGGATCCGCAAGAGGAAAACCCAAGGTCACCATGAACAGAGGGTGCACCACCAGCCCATCTCACTTGCCCCACAGAGGAAGGATCCTCAGCTGCTGACATCTGATATTCAAGAGAGAACTTCACAGTGAAGTTTGCGTACTGGCCAAACGTACCTTTCCTCTGTAACAGCTCTAAGAGTGGTAGATATAGAATTGTTTGCATTATTCTTATCTGCTATCACTGTGTCAGTGATAGATATGTGAGATAAAAATTGCCTATTATCAAATGGAGAAGTTATGTTTGGTCTGATGGTTTGGGTACGCTTGGAACAAGGTATCTGGGTCATAAATCCAGTGCCAACAGACATGTGCTGCCAACTTTCATGATTTTATGAGTCTTACAATATTGTTTCATGCAATTACATGACTAAGTGTATTTTTAAACAATGCTTTCTAGACTGCTAGACTGTGGGGGGAAAACTTCAAAATATGATCCAATGTTGTAAAAGATACATTTAAAGGCACCAAGAATAAAAAACAAAAAAATACCCCCATGACCTTAAATGCATTTAAAATCTTAAAGACTCATGATTTTTAAGGGCACTCATTTCTCAGGGGCTAAGTAATGAATTTCTAATTCATCAGGTTGTCAATGCTGTATTTAAATTCCAGAATCAGCAAGCATGTCAGAAATCATCCATCTACCTTCTATCACAGATAAAATGTGACAATTGGATTTAGCATTTCTTAAATATATGCTTTTGCTGCACCAGAAATTATGGTTTTGATTCAGGAATCACTTAATAATATTTTATGCTCTGCATTATGCAGGCAGTCAAAACAAATAATTATCCCTTCTGGGCAACATATTTATCAATTTTAATAACAACTAAAGTTAGACTAATATCTAAAATTCCATTATTCTTCATTGGAATTATACATAATTTAATATGGTTGTGTTCAGCCCTGGGTGTTAACTTTGTATGAAAATTACAGCAAACTAACATATTGACCAGAATATGGGCAGAACTAGCTAAAGTAAATGCTTGAGAAAATTCACAGGAAATGGATGACAAATTCCTAATCATCAGCATTGTGTATAGTTAACCCAAATTCAAGAATATCATTAATTCAACTGGGGAACAAAAAAGTCAGTTTCATTATTTGTGTCCAATAAAAACTGATCAATACTGTCAAGATGCCCAGTATCATATGCCAGCAAGAAATACATCACGCATGACACAGGCCAAGGATAAATTGCTGAAATTATCCAACAACTAATCCCAAGTAACTAAGATAAACACAAGTCTTTTACAGTCTTATTCACATGAGGGTGAGGAGGGATGAAGAGAAACTAAATTTTAATGATCCTCTCCCTCCCCTCCCACAATCACAATGACAGTTTAAGTCTGTTTACTGAACTATTTCAATTTTCTCATGACAACAGAAGCTGAAAGCAGTGGGAAGAATCACCAGCCTATGATGATCTAAATTGATTCCCGCCTACTGATAACATGTGTAGTGCTACTGACTGGCCCTAAAGAAAGCTAATATCACGTTGCTCTTGCTCAGAGACAGTGATGTACATCTTTTATGGGTGGTAGAAAGAAAAGAATAACAAAATGTGGGATTTCATGGAAAACAATCCAGTGAAGAAAGTATTCATGAGCAAATTAGAATTCTTCTGATATAAAAGCTCTCTTTACTATACCTTCAGGACTACCAAATCATGGGAGCCATCTTGCAGAGTTGTACCATCTTCCTTCATTAGCTTGACATAGGCCATTGCAAAATTCTTTTCACCTTTATCTTTAGCTGTAAAGTACACAATGATGTGTTTAATATATGATATATATCAAGCTAAGCTTATCTGGTGACAAAGGGAAAAAAAAGTCATACTTACACTCTTGAGATGACCTGTGTCTGAACATGAAGCGCAGATGTACTCTTTGCATATCTTCAATGGGAATTGCCACCTTGTATAAATCAGATCATAGTATAGTAAATAAAAATATATTTTAAAAAACCAGTGTTGCCTATAATGCATGTCCTCATCTCTGCATGAAGATACAGCATTATTTTAATTGCTGAGCATATTAAAGATACTCTCTGCAATTACTCCTACATGCATACACAAGTCAAACAAAGCTGGGTCTAGGTCTGGCCACACTAAAAGACAACATGCAATGTCTATATAATCATATGCTGCTAGTTCCTCAAATTAAAGCAACAGTCAAGTGTAGCAGAACATAAGAACTGTTACAGCCATCAGTTACAGTACTGGTAGATGTTCATGTGCTAAAAATAAATGTACTATACTCTGTTATTATTACCTTTAAACATTAATCAATCATTGTAAAATCCCCTCTAAAGGTAATTATACCCATTTTAGAAATGGATAAACTGAGACAGGGAGAAAAAAGTTTCCTTGGGACTGCAAAGCAAGTGTCAATCATGAATAGAACATAAAGGAGTCAAGACCATATCTTATTCACACTTTGCATTATAATTTCTAAAAAAGTTGTATGAAATCTCCAAGTATGAAATCAAATATTAGCAGCACTCCACATTTTTTTTTATAATCAAGCATGTCACAAATATTTAAAGTTGTATCATGTTGATATCATCCTTTTTATTCCTCTACTAACAACCCCAGTGGGTTCTTTTATCAAACCTTACCAACTGCATAAGAGTATTCAGCCCTATATAAAAGCATCTTAGAATCCCAGCCTTCAAATAATGACTATTGTTAATTGCTCAGAATACAAAAATCTGGTCAAAAGTTACTGCCAAAATTTAGAACTACAACAATATGACTCAAAATACCAGACTGCCTTCAAGGCACATATACAATTGATCATGTCCAAGTTACCTTTCTACCCTTTCTCTGCCCATTACATTCATAATTTAATTGCAGCCTAGTTAAATACAGATGGGCTATATTACATGAGTAATCTTCAATAATGCTGTCACAAAAAGCATTTTTACTGGAAAGCTCGTCATGCAACCTTGAGCTGTATTTTGTAATTACCACTTTCAGAAACTTCCATTAGATATTAAACACAAATTGCACAGTTGCCTTTCATTTCATCCCTGACAAAAGCAATTCAAGACAATAAAAAATAATAAAAGTTTATGGGAGATTTCTGTTGTTTCTAATCATGCAAGCTCCCTCACTTCCACTGTTTTAAAACAGTACAATGTAATATTTCGTTTTCAATGAGGCATGTTAAGAACATAAGGTAAACTAAAATGATTGCATTTGTTTTGCTACAAGAAATTCCAACATAATTTTTAGGCCAAAACTTTAAGCATCACTAATCACATATCCCTAACCAATAGCTGATATATGACTGATGGTACATGCATTTATTTGTATTCAAGACCCAAAGCTATTTGTTACCAAAAATGTGATCTACACTGCAATACCTTCCTTCTAAACAAGATAGGAACTGACAATTGAAACAGAAAATGTCAGTGAAATATGCTTGCCATACCTTTAGTGTTTCCATCCAGCGTGGCTGTTTGACCTGATAGTAGAGAACTGATCTGTATTCACTCACAGCTTTGTCCCCTGCTCCCAAACAAATTGCATTCTAACAAAAAAAAGGGGGGAAAATAAAAAAGATCACAGCTTATCTTGGTTTTTCATTATTTGCAGAAATTTCTGCAACAGGAGTAAAAAAGCAGAACTCTCCTATATAAGAACAGTTTAATTGATACATATAATTTTTAAAATAATATATTTGCAAAACTGACACAAGCAACCAGAAGCAGCAACTGCTGTGACACCAACATTATTGTTACTAACATTCTAAAAATCTTCAAAAAAGACATATCACCAACATTTTTTTCTTTTTTTTTTACCCATATGTGGCCATCTGTAATACAGTCAATCTAAGGTCTAGCTAGGGTGACCACCCATCCCTAACTGGGTGGGACAGTCCTAGAATGGGAACATCAAGTCCCAGTCCCGGGCTGCATGAGTCCGGGACAACATTTGAGCCAGATTCACAGTATCATGCAGGGATCAGGAAATGGCAGGTTCCCCCTTCCAGGCTGGTAGCATTTCAGATGGGCTGCAAGGGGCTGCTAGGAACAGGACGCAGGGGGCACCACGTGCATGTGCGCACCTGAACACATGCACATGGCCAGGAATACAGCCAGGCAGCATGAAGAGCAGCTCACTGAAGATAAGTCTATGGAGGGGAGGGAACAAAAGGTGGAAATGGGGGAGTATCAAGAACCCCATGGTGAGGGAGGGAATGGGGCAGTGGCATGGGCTGAGGGGCACTGCCCAGCCAGGGTGGTGCATGGGGCCCAGAGCCAGGGTGGGGAGCGGAATGGAGTATCCAGGGGGTGCAGCTGTTCACTGCTATGCGCATTCCCTGGCGTGAAGGGGGGGAAATGAGGGGCACATGCCCCCCCAGATTTGTATGAACTGGGTGCAGATGTGGACTACCTGCTGTAGGCTCTGGGCTCCCTGTCCCACTGCCCTCCCCTGGGAGTCCCATCCTGGCAACACACCCTGTGCCCACCTGACAGCAGTGGAGGCAATGGTATTATGAAGTTGTGCCCCCTACTGATGCTGGGTGGGCAGGATCACGCAGCCAGTATGGGGCTCCTGAAGGAAAGGCAACAGGGCATGGAGCCCTGAGCCTGAATCCGCCCCTGCTCCACTTGGCTCTGCCCTGGCCATGCTGCCAGTGGGGGGAAGGGAGGGGGAGAGGCAGGCATGTGTCCCGCCTTTCCATTTTGAAAAGGTGGTCACTCTACATCCAGCAGAGTCACTTATCACTTATTACTCAGTTCCACCTGAAATCTGGGAGATGTAAAAATGCCTCAGTAGAAATAATGTATAGCGCTATTTTATATTCTGCTGCAAGGACACTTTTTAAAAGGAAACATTAATAATGAGAACATAAACTGTGGATGAGACTAGAACAGGCGTACCCAAACAGTAGAGACAATATCTGCATGGCCTTGAAGCAAAGGCCTTTCTCCTGCCCAAGCCTTCTAATAGCAGGAGATATTATTGTCTTTAATAGTCAGTGATCCAGCAACTAGCACCATATGGGAGCTGTGTGTGGTAGGAGGGCAATAAGAGTGTTTGTTTGTATATTCAATTTTACCTTGAAAAAGTCAGAGGAGTAATTGCATCTGTGCAGCTGCACAAAAATTCTACAAGATCAAGCCAAGCAAAAATGCAAGATCCTACACTTTCCTGGTATTTCACAGATTTCTTTTCAAAGAAAGTGGCAGCCTCCAAAAGAAATGTCTGGACATGGTTCCTGCAGATTAATTTTGAAGAAGTTATAGGGGAAGTCAACAACCACAGAAAAAGCGAGAATTCCAATCTCTCAAGCTCCTTGCCCTAGCTTTTAGAAAAAAATTAATCTAGTCCCTCCGTAAATGTGAGGTTTAGGTCTAATTAGGATCATCTGTGCCTAGTGACTTCAGCTCAGCCCACCTGAGACTCCAATATCCCTACTGAGATTTAATTCAGTGAGTCCCAATCCACTCTTCAGCTCCGAAACAGCTTCAATATAGGGGGTTCATATTTGCAGGAAGGTTCTGCCCAAGCAACATATCCATGCACATTGTACTTAAGAACTTATTAATTTGGCAAGCTCCACTTCTCAATAGCTGTGTGCAGTAGCATAGCAATGGGGTGGGAGGGAGGGGGCCATGGCCCCCGGGGCC